TGCTCACGGCAGGAAGGTATTTGATTGTGACACACAGAGATAATTATTTTATTATTTTTAAAAGTGCATACAGCACAGACATTTCTGAGGTTCGGTAAGCCTTTGATGATATTATTACATAGACTACCCCATACAATGGAAACAAGATATGAAAACCACAACGGAGAGAGCTCAAGATACAGAACAAATACATTTAGAAGCAATCCTTTCTGAATCAAAGAACAACAGAGTGGGATTTTCCGAATCTGCGGTGAAATGCAGAGAGCCCATTCTTGTATTCTTTCGATGCTTGTGCTGTTTTCATTTGCACAAATACAATTTTTAGTTGCTCTGGAATGCCAATCCGGTCATTATTTTTAATCACGTGATAATACGGGAGCTTAATAGAGCAGCAAATAAGAAATATTCTCAACGGACAAGGGAAAAAGACAAGATTGGCAGGGATGTATTGCAGACGATATTTCCAATTTATTTGCAGAATTGTTAAGTCTGAGATTCATGTCTGAAACACTGAATTAAAAATACAGAAATGAAGCGAGGGAAAAGAAGAAAACCTGATTTAACTTGTTTCTTTTTGAATCACAAATCTTATCTTATGCATTGACACGATGTGAAGCCTTTGCGAGGTCGCCCAGAATAATGTATAATATATCCATCGATTTTACATAGGCCTATTGTTCTTTTTCCTCCATCAATTGGACAGTTCAATGGCGTGCCAGTCATTGCGTTGCTCCTGTGTGTGTCGCCTATTTTAATGCTAGTAATACTATAGCAGGATGGTAGGCAGGTACTTACTTTGATCATTTTTAACCAGTGAAGATGGAGGTGGGTGGGTCAGGAAATGTTATAGTTAGTTGTTTTGTTGTTTTTTGCTGTATGTGTGTGTGTTTGTTTTCGTTTTTGTTTTGTTTTTTCGGTAGGGTTTTTTTTTACCTTTTGGGGTTATTCCCTGTATGTTTTGTTGTTGTTGTTGTTGTTGTTGTCGTTGTTGTTGTTGTTGTTGTTGTTGTTGTTGTTGTTGTTGTTGTTGTTGTTGTTGTTGTTGTTGTTGATATGTTTCGCCCCCTCCCCCTTTTTACAGCATAATTTAGATTATTCAGAAGCCGGGGTACGACCCTGCCTGCTAGGCTCAACCTTGTTTGAGAGGGGTACAACACGTGTAATATATTCATATAATATTCATATTGTTCTTTTAAAATAATTTGACAGTTGGGCGATGGGCCAGCCATTGCGTTGCTTCTGTGTTGTCGCCGTGTGTAATGCTAGTTTTACTAAATCAGAATGGTAGACAGGTACGTATGTTTAGTGATGGGCGAAATGGGTCAGAACAATTTGAAGTTATTTTCTGCGTGTGTGTTTGTGTGTGTGTGCGTGTGTGTGTGTGTGTGTGTGTGTGTGTGTGTGTGTGTGTGTGTGTGTGTGTGTGTGTGATCTAATTTTACCTCTTACACAAAGCGACCCCCACGTCCTTCAATGGCAAATATCTCTACCTCTATTCAAGATAGCTGGTATTTTTATCCAGTAAAATCAAGGCAAATGAACATGTTATAGAATGATACCAACAACTCCATAAGTCCAAAAACTGACGCTCACCTGATTCCACTTCGTCGTGACATATGTTTCAACATTTTGGGGTGAGTACGTCTAAATGGTTGGCTGACCACTT